GTAGTCGTAGCAGCACCAGCAGCAGCAGCGGCACTAGAGGCATAGTAGTAGTAGCAAGAGTAGGAGAGAACGCTGTCCACATATGAGGATACAGGGAATATGGTTACACGTGTGTAACTACACTACCGCATACAAACATGCATTCCTGAAGCTCCGCATAGCTAGAGATGGACAGGCGGGCAAACAACCAGGACGAAGCACAACGACAGACTGGCGGACAAACACACGGACGTGATGCCACTGGTCGCAGCCCCATTTGTGGTTTCCGTGAAAAGGCTTCAAGACAGAAGTGGCAAAGTCGGCAATACTGAAGCTGGCATAGCCTCCGCAGCCTCATCGTCCGTGCCTTGAAGTTGGGCCCTTAGTTGTTCCAGCTTTGTGGCTTTCGGATTCGGAGATACCAATGCTTCCGGACTCGGGGATGGCAAATTTTTAATGAAATTGTGGGAGCACGGATACATACGATCTGGGCTCAACGATATGCCCGTGTCCTGCGGGCATTCATCCCTGAGCCTGCTCCACACGTGCTGTGCCAAAGGATGAGAAGAAGTGGGGAGCTCTTCTTCTGCATTCTCTTTGGAGAGCTGATGCACAACACGTGCACGCTTCCCAAATGCGAAGGTTGCTACGCCGAAAGTCCCACTGAAAGGCATCTCCAACCTACTCGCACCACCACCACCACCAACGCCACCGCCACCGCAACCGCCGCCACCGCCAACCCCAAGACCACCAAAAACCACCACCACTACCACCACTGCTACCATACCTGCAACTGCAAAAATGCTGCTGCTGCTGCTGCTGCTGCTGCTGCTGCTGCTGCTTGTAGTGCATTCGAACATGAACCTGGGACTCACTATAGCCGTCATGCTGATGATCATCCGTGGCACAGTTGTCGCTGAAGCTCTTCCTGGCGCCGCAGCTGCTCGTCGAGCTTCTGCTGCAACTGGGAAGCGGTGGTTGCGTTCGGGTTTGGGCTTCAGTCTTGAGTTTGAGGGCTTTGGGGTCCAGATGGTCCAGGTGCTTGTTAGTGCTCAGGTCGGGAGTTTCAGCCTTGCGGGGAACGTCCGGCCTCGATTGGTGGCTTTGATATCAAAGGCTCGTTTGCCTTGATCTCAACTGCCGGACGAGCTGCATGCGTCGCCCCGGGGCTCGTCCCAAAGCCACCTGGCTCAGCTTCGCGTGGCCCCTGCGATGTAACCGCCAACTAAAGGCCTGTCGACAGCTAGTCCGAAGAAGGCTGCGGATCATGCTTAATCTTTCTGACATGAACCTGTCATGGCACCTTTGCCATCTGTCTGACTCACTCTGTCCGTGCTGCCAGCGATGGGCTGAAGCGGACCGCCGCCTGAACGCCAGCTTCACAACCGAGGACACGTGGGTTGGGTGTGGCTGAGACGTTTGAGGCATCGATTTTAACCTAAAGCAACTACCAGATCACGTACAAGCCATACAGTAGCGGGCATACCTGTCACAACTGCATGCTCTGTTGGGGTAATATTCCGGCAGGCAATTCTCCGAAACCACGAGGTCCTCGGAAGTTCCACGACGGAACAGGTCGTTTGTCGACGCCGCCGCGCCGCCTCCTTTCCTTGCACAGAGTCGGACGGAAGGGCCCGTTCCTCCTATTTCGGGGTCTGCCGTGTCCCGTTTGGACTTAAACTAAGAACCTGCAAAATTGGGCACGATGCGGCGGAGCGCGCGCGTTCCACAGAAGCGAGCCAGTGCGCTGTGTCGAGGCCGTGGATCTCGTGGATGGGCCGCCTGTCACAAAACTTACAGCTGCAGTAATGGCACAAGTTGTCACCACCATCAACATGATCAACAGCTCAAAAAGATGACAGCTGACACAACACGCCGAATCCTGACGACAGAACGAATGACAAGACGGGCAACAAACACCACAAGCACTTTCCGCAAAACACACAGAGAGACACACGCACATGGCAGTACGTAGAACGTCTCGAACCGTGTTGGTAGTCCAGAATTGCGCACGCCTCATGGAGCGCAGCACGGCTTGGAGAGCCGGCCTGGTTTCGGCGCTCGGGACACCGAGCTTTAAGTAGGTCTATGCCCCCACACAGCGTATGTACATAATATGCCATACGTGCACATGCACATCAACACAAATGGAGCAAACGATCTACGTCTATAAGTCAACAGTTGTTGGGCATTGTTCAGTTGAGTTGCGATCGCTCTGCTGATTATCGGCTGACTTTGTGTTCTCGAAACAAACCGTCCAAAAGACACAGTGTTAGGCGTAAGGGTTTCAAAGCACTGCGTGGACTGACAGGTGCGTCTGCAGTTACCCCGGCCTTTCCGGCTTAAGACCTAAAGCGGCGAAACCCGTTCAGGGGATTCGGCTCTGCCAAATGCCCAAGGGCCCATCTAAGACCGCACCGATCCTAGAGATCTGCTCTGGTGGGCAGGGCCCCTACTCTGTTGCCGTATCAGAAGAAACGCTTCCCGGTGGGCTCTAGATGCATCTTGGGATGTTGCTCAATCTGCTAAGTCTTGATGCCTGGGCTTGGAGGTCTCCCGCCCGAGGATGCCCATGGACACGTCGTAGCGCTTCGACATGTTCCTTGCTGCGGTCGAGGGCGTTCGTGCACGGCTGGGCAGAACACAACACCGACGACTGCGACGACGACCACGAGATCTACAACGACGACGTCGACAACAACAGCAACAGCAACAGCTTTTTCTTCTTCTTCTACTACTACTGCTACTACTACTACTGCTGCTGCTGCTGCTACTACTACTACTACTACTACTGTTACTAACCTCCTGCATCCTCCTGCTGCTGCTACTGACTAACTCCTCGACGACCACCCACACCGCCAGCACTCCAACAACAACAACAGCAACATCATCATCACCACCGGTGCAAGCCCCGCTACTCCCGTAGACTTCCTCTGTAGATATTCCCGACCATGGCTACAAGTCCGACTGCTTCCACCCACAAAACACGTCTCTCTGGCAGGCTTTGGGCAAGCGGCGGCTCTGCGGCGCTCCGCAGCTGAGATGCCCGGAGGGCCGGCCTTGGTTGCGGAATGGCAACAAATCATGATGTCATGGTGATGGTGATGCTGACGACGATGACGCAGACGATGACGATGAGTTAGGGCCGCTGCTGGTGATGACGATCCAGCTTCCCCGACACAAACAGCCCCAGCATTCCGAGATTGGCCAGCCCAACTGCCCGCTCCTCCCCATGGATGCTGCAGGGGACGTCGACTGTGACTTCGATGGCGCTTGTGGCTCAGGCCGCCCGGAGGGAGGCGGCCGTGGGACCTGCAGAGGCACAACTTGCAACAAGTCTCAACAGCAATCGCAAAAGCAAAAGCCAAGGAGACTGGGGTTGCCTTGGATTCACTTCAACTCGGAGGTTAGATGCAAGTATAGTCGTGGCGAATGGCACACTAAGTGTGCCCTGCGCCACCGAACCTCCGCATGGTCTGCTAGTCGCATCATGAAGATGGCCGATGAACATGCAGAAGACCCTCGGGCAAAGGCTTCAGGGCTCAGGGGTTTTGGGCATCACGTGCTGCTGTCAAATTCCTGCGGGCGTTCTGCGAAGGGCTCGACGCATGTTTCGTCTCGCTCAAGCTGGAGCCAACTGCAGGACATCTCTGCACGGCCAGAGTCTCTCAATACTTCGAAGATCGACACTGCTTGGCCGTGATCCTAGATTGTAAAGCTTGCATTTCATGCTACTCTTGCCATCACTGATACCACCTGCATTCCTGTACATTTTGACTTTCATTTTCAGTGCCAGAACCGGCATGTCGTTGTCTTGCCGCGGAAAGCGCTACTACAACCACTTTTCTCGCCTCCTCCTGATGCTACGTCCTGCTGCTCCGACAGCCACCTTCAACAGTCGCTCATAATTACGACGACGACTGCCGCTGCAATGTGGTAACGTAGTACTTCTCCGACGACGACAGCAGCTGTCGCGAAGATGCACGATGGCATTCCGACCGTAGGCTCTCATGGCTCCCATGTGGACTTCATTGCTTTTGTATTTGTGTTCGACCCTCTGTTTGCCAAGAATTTGGATGTGCTTAACTAGTCAGTTGGTTCTGGATATTTTTGGGTCCTCCCAACTGGCGTCCCTCTCCCAGTTCCACGCACTGATTCTAACCTCACCTCCACTGCCCGCCCCGACTGAATCACGCATGTGGCCTCCACTCCAGAATCGACTCCAAACCCCTGAATACGCAGAGAGGCTGTCTGCACTGCCTTGACTACTCTACCAGACTAGCTCTGAAAAGGTCCGGTGAATTTTTAGGATGGGCTTCCGTAACATGATGCCACAGATGATTTCTCCGAGCAGTCCCACCGACTCCTTTTCACAGCAAAGCGGGGATTTGCATGTCGACGGCTTCAGAATTGTAAAATCGCTGTCGCTTTGCTGAGGCGCAAGCAAGGCTGCTGCGGAAACGCAGGGGTTGATGAAACGGAATGGAGGCTCCAAGGGCAGGAAGTGTACTTCTGATGATGATACGCAGCTAGTGAATGTCTCGACAACTCCAGTGACTTCCAGTGGAACCGCCGAGCAGGGTCTTCTACGCAGGCTAGGCCCAAGGGGACAAAGATCAGAATCTCAGAACGGTTCGCACCCCCGCGGCATCATCGAAGTTGTCGAAGACATCATTGATGTTTTCGAAGGACTCTTCGCGCGTGATGTACTCCTGGGCAGCAGGGCGCGAGCAATCGAGGGCACTTCCGGCTTGGCACCCTCAGACTTGTCTGCAAGCTGGAGGCATCCACTTTCAACTCCCCAGCCATGTAGAGGTCCTGGTCTGGGCCAAAAATGGAAGGGGAGTCGAAAACAAAAAAAAGACTTCTTCCAGTGAAGAGGGTAAATCGTCGAAGGTCTGGGGAACGACGTGAGCCAACTTTCTCTTCGCTGAGCATGCACGACCGCTGAGGAAAAGACCACCAGCAAGGGGATCTGCGGCTTTGAGCGCCAACCTGCCCACAAAATAGACTGAATGCTCCCGGGGCAGTTGGACGCTTAGGCGAAAAAAAGGGTTTGGACATCCAAACTATTCCAAAAGGCTATTCCCGTGTGATGTATGTCGCAGGCAGCAACGCAAGGCAACCACATACCCTCCCATAAATTTGTTGCCCACGGTCCGAATCCTTGAGATCCGAGTCTCCAAATCCTGACTCCTCAGATTCGGATCTCCAAACCTTGATTCCTCGGTGCGTCCATCTCCCCCAGCCAATCCTCCGAAGGTGACGCTGTTGAGACCCCCTGGCGGCGGCCAGGATGACCGGAGGAGCACGTCAGGACCTAGGAAGCCGCCATGTGGCTTTGGAAAGGACTCCCAGGGTCTTGTTTAAGGAACGGTTTTTTCCAGAGCTTCCTGCACACGCTGGTCACACTCCAACCGCAGGCATCACGTGCATCTACAGCGCGAATTCGGAGGCCATCTACTGCCTCTCAGACGCCTTCCGAGACGGACCAGCCCGTCTAGACCGATACTGCTCCGTCTGGCTGTGCGAAGCGATGCTCGAAGTAAGGCCACAGGGAATCTGCTTCTCACTGAGTCCCCGGCCATGCGGCGTACCCACCGTCACGCATTTCCCCCACTCTTTCACGACCTCTAAAACCGAGGGAGCCAACTCCAGGTCTCCCCGGCAGTCGAAGGCGAAGTCGGCGGTCGATCCCTGGGAGCAGCTACGGAAGACGACGGAATGGCGACTGATAAATGGCCACTGTAGCTGCAAAGATCACGAAGATCACGAAGAACCTACAGACCTTTCTGAACCAAGTCGCAATAAGCTTTAGGATCTCATCCTGCACCAGCAGTGAGCAAGAGCTCAGGGAGGCACGGGCCCGCACATGTTCTTCCCAAGGGTCCTTGACGCTGACCCCCTCCGGCAGAGAATACGGATTCAGGAGGCTGGTTGCACCCCATTTTTGGGCCAGGTCCTTGGCTGCAGCAAAGGGCCGTGGAAAGACGGTGCATCTGTACTTTTAGAACAAGAGATACCTTAGAGGCAGGAAAGCTCCCAATAGCCAAGGCCGCGACGAGCCTCGAAGAATACGGATCCACTGCTACAATCCTTGGAGACTGTGCGACGGTACACTTAGCAGCTGGCTTGATGTGGTTGGTCAAACATGTGGGTGGTTCTCTACATTAGGGCCCCTTTTAGGTCCCCATTTTAGTACGGCACCCTTAGTAAAAGGGACCCCCAAAGGGTACCCTAATGCAGAGAACTACCCATGTGGGATAACGGACTCTGAGGAGTAGGGTCGGCGGTTTGGGTGCTGTTCGTGCTGCCCTCTGCTGCTCGCGGATTCGGAGCTTAGGGTTTGGAGCCGCCCTCCAGACTTCGAACCAAAGCCCACAACACTTCAACGTGCATTCGCCAAGACTTGCTTCTGCCAAGCCGCTTCCCAGCCCCTGCTTTCACAAGCGCAGCAATCACGGCCAAGCCTTCGGCCTGCACCCGGTACTTGGAAGCTGGGGGACGTGGCAAGTCTACTTATAACATCCGTTGCCCTATCTACCCGTAGAACCCCAGAGGGAGTTTGGCCGATGGAATTCCTCCTCCGACGTGGCAGGCTGGCTATCGCATCACTACATCAGTTCCGGTTTCTGGTTTTCCAGCCATCCACCATCCTGTTTAATTCCTTTCGCAATCGACAATAGTGCCTGTTCAGCGTGGGGCTGCGGTACCGGCATATCTGGCGAAGGGGCCTACATTCTCATCGGAAGCCTGCGCGCCAAAGACGACAGCGGACGCACCCCGCTGCACACGGCCGACATTCCAGACCTCAGGTCATCAACGGTTCAACAAGGGGCACATTCGACAAAAGTATAGTATAGTATACTATACGATACTATACCATATACCATATACCATATACCATATACCATATACCATATACCATATACTATATACTAAATACTAAATACTAAATACTAAATACTAAATACTATACTATACTATACTAGAGTTTTGGCATGTTTTGGCCCCGAAGGTCGCTGTCTGCAGGTTTCCTCCGATCTAAAGCGACAATAGGAGCACTAGATGCACGACACTGCCAGACTCTGGCAAGACAGAGGGCCGCGAGGTCTGCCGTCGAAGATTGCATCCTTCTGACTTGCTGCACACGGGTTGTGATGTGACGGGTTAGATACATCATGCATATTTGGCATTTTTGCCTTCACTCCCAGGACTAGAGCTGTTGTCTTGCCTAACAGCCAAACTTCCCTCTCCGCTTGTCCCCATAGCTAGGAGTGCTGCGAGTTGCATCCTCGTTTGACGTTTCTGCTCCTCGCGACGACCATCGACTTCCTTTCTGGACCCCACGCTTCTCACTGCAGACTTTGAAAGTCATTCCTCGACAACAATGGCATGACTATGATTTTGATCTCGATTGTTGATTCAAACATGACATCGCATGACAGTTGCAAGTTGACAGGCTGCTACTGCATGCATCTCGCCAGTTTTATTTTTTCCCCCTATCTCTAAACCCTAAGCCTTAAACCCTATAAACTCGCCAGTGTTACTTGATCCCCAATCTCTGCACGCTAAGCCCTAAACCCTAGAAACCCTAAACCCTAGAAACCCTAGGGTCTGCTGTCAAAGAGCAGCTCCAAGAGCAGCGGCCACCCCGCCTCCGAGGAGCCCAAGGTAAGTCAAGGGCGCATCCTGCCGCAGATGTCTCATAACTACAAAATCTAACTCTTTAGGGTTCCTGGTGACTATACCATACTGTACTATACCATACTGTGCTTTACTGTACTATACTATACTCTACCCTACTATAGTATTCTGTACTGTACCATACCATACCATACTATACCATACTATACTATACTGTCTTTCCGGATGTGGCTTCAAGCTGTCAGCACCGCGTCCCACATGATGTCAGATGCTCGAATTAGTGTCAATGTTCAGTGGAACTGTACAGTTGTGATCGCTAACTAACAGTGATGTTAGGCAATCATCGAAGGATGGTCAAAAAGAACCGAACGATATCTTTTCCGTTTGTCGAATGAAGCTTGTTGCCTTGGAAACATAACACACGGTCAACGGTTGCCTTTCCGGCTGACAACACTGAAAGCCTCCATGCCAAGCATTGTTGGGCGCAGCCTATCTACACAGACGGAGTGCTGTGATCATGACAACATCTACGGATGGCTCGGCCAAGCAAAGCCGTTTCCGGAGCGCCGGAGTGGCTATTGACTGCAGAGTTCGTAAGCTGGCGCCGCGCCTTGCGCACCTTGATGAGGGAGTGCGCGTGAACTACGCTGTACTCCTGGGGCAGAAGATGCCAAACTGCCGAACTGCTGCTCCTGTTCTTGCCATCAGTCACTCTCAGTAGGCTGGCTATTCTCATCTCTATTTCGAGTATCAACTACTGGCCATGCCACTGACACCTCAACTGCGACTGAGGCCCGATCCGAGAAGGCGCTCGTGCCTTTGAAGTGGTAGACCTCCGTGCTCCCGTAGGAGAACCGGGGCCGGCTATCGGCCACCATCACCCCACGGCCTCGGATCGGCAAGCAAAACCTCCGCACCGGCTGTCAACCAGGAGCCCCAAGCGTTATAAGTAGAACCCACGAAACCTAACAAATCCGCTTCGTGGACTGCATGGCTTGAACAAGTCCGGGCTGCTTGTCGCGTGATGGACGGAGTCGCAGTAGTTTGACTCCTTGGTCACACTGGCCGTAGTGATACTGTCCGTGATTGTTGTGGCAGCAGCAGCAGCAATAGTACCAGGAGCAGCAGCACCAGCAGCAGCAGCAGTAGTTGTGGTAGTCGTCGTGGTCGTCATCGTAGAAGTAGAGTGGTGGTAGTGGGAGTAGTGGTAGTGGTGGCAGGCTTAGCAGTGGTAGCAGTGGGAATAGTTGTGGCAGTGGTAGTATTCGCTGTCATCGTCGTAGTAGTAAGTAGTACTAGTATGGCGGTAACCGCTGCTGTAGTAATCCTAAAGCAACCTCTCACATGCTTAGCCAACACAATCAAGTAAGTTTCATACAACAGCACTCATGTTGCGATGGCACGAGGAGGCAACAGCTAGCATCATCATTGCAGAGCTGGGGTCTGCCGCTTTGCAACCCGCACATTCGCCACAGTGTGCTTGGTAGCACGGTATGACGTGGTCACCAGGCTGAAACTCGACCACGCCCTCGCCTGCAGCAAAAGTACCGTAGACTGGAGGGAAGCTTTCCCGTGCAAAGCTTGACTTCTTCCCCAGGGTCTCACACAAAGTGGTGGCATGTACTCTTCCGCGACCGACCCCCCATCCCCCCCCGGGTTTAGTGCGGACTTGGATTGCTACACACCAGCCGCTAGCCAAGCCCAAGAGCGGGGCCTACGTCCTCCACGATGGCAGAAGACTCGAGGCCAAGGATTCGTGGGTATGGCTTCTCCTGCCCAGGGATCTCTTCGGGGAAACTCTCTATCAACCTAAAACTGACCTTTGAGAGTTTGGGTTGGGGTGAGTTACCGCCTCCCAATATCGAGACAAATCCATGTGATAAGAGATCCCATGGAGATTCCACGGATTTAAGGCTGTGCCGTCGGAGCCACCGAGTTTAAAGGGCGCGAATGCATCTGCACCTACTACTGCCATCACTCGTGCCATCGCAGTCACTCTTCCCACCGCTCGCCCATTCCTGTTGTCTTTGCTGGTACAACTACACCTGCTGTCTGTTTGTGGTCTTGCCATGCCTGCTCTTGCTGCCTTACGAACCAAAAACTTATGCCTAAGCCATGGTGGCTGCTGACATTCATCTTGACACTCTGGCCACTACCTCTCTTGCTACCCATCCCTCATTTCCGACATCCTGTCTTCTGCGCCTTCTCCGCAAAAAGATCGACCCGTGAGGGCACTGCAGCCACCTGAGCCCAGCAGCATCGGTGCGTCTTCGGGCTGTGCTGCTCGTACTTCCACCATGAAAAAAAAATTATTCGGACCTGAGGATAGGTGGCTCTCACCCAATCTGTCTGAGCACTCAGTTGAGCTCAGCTTTAGGAAGTCCCGCTTAAGCTCGGCCCGCCCGAAGTCCTGATGTGAAGCAGACCCTTCTGTGCTCTGGCCTGGCGCACTCGTACCTCACCAGCCTGCGGCGGCGCCACCTCCGGGTTTAGTATGTTTTAATGTTTTTATGTCATGTATGGGACCTGGAAGATAGTGCAGCCTGTGGAGGAAGCCGACAACCATCGCTCTATAGCTAGACTGGACGAGTAGTGATACAGACATCCGGTCTCACGTGCCTTCACTTTGACCAGCTGAAGCGCAGTCTCATCCGGGAGGGATACGGCTGCCAACGAGTCCTGATCAGCGAAGATTGAAAGGGCTTGGGCCTGAGCCTGCAACAATCGGGGCTTTCGCCCAACTGGTCAGCTGCAGCATCTGCAGCATCGGCAGTTTTGTTCGTGCCAAGATTCGATCTCCTTCGGGCTGCCATCAATGATCCGCACAGTTTGCAGAGCATTGCTGGCAGCTTCCACCTGCGCTCGCTGCCAAGGTCAGCAACCACATCTAAGTCTACTTCTCCTATGATTTGGCGGACAATTTTCCCTTTTCGCAACCCTTCCACCCTTCCCGCTCCACCCCGGTTGGCATTGCCGAAATCAGAGAGCAGCAGTGTACAACACAGGCAAGGCGTGGACACAGGTCGTGCTTGCCTCCTCGCGCGCCTCTTCGGCGTCCTCTGGCGTTGTCTCGCCTGCGATGCTGACCGCACCCCGACCGGTAACATGTCACTAAATCTGGGAATCTGGGACTCTGCACAGTGGGCCTTCAGGGATCAAGCCCTCAAGGGCTCACCTTTTTCCGGCTTCTGCGCCCTCGCAGTTCACTGGCCTGCATCGGCCAACGTCGACTCCGAGGACTCCTGCTGGAAGGAGCCAGGATCCACAATGCAGGAGCCGGCTCAGGGTCCCAAGATTTAGGTGCCGGTTTGAGGAGTGGCAGGAGCTGCGGGCAGGTTCTGCAGAGCCACTTCGGCACTCCTTTCAAGTTTCTGGGCGCCTGTTGTTTCTGGGATCACTTGTGTTGTAGAGTCCTGACTTTCAAAAGCCTCTCTGCAAACAGTAGGTCGCGGGACTGTTTACAGGGAAGGCTCTAAGTTCCTCGACCGAGCAGCTCTCTACGTCCTGACTTTCCCATGGACTCCCATGTCCTTCGGAGCGGCGTCGGTCGCTTCATCCGCATTCACAGTCTCTGGACCAGTGGGCCTTCGAGCTACTCCCATGCCCCAGGCAATGCTTCCAATTGCGCCCTCAAGGCGACCACGCCCAAAAATCAACCCACTTGCGGAGGTGTTGGAAGAATCATGAAGCGGTGTGGAGCAGTGTAGGAAGAGGCTCCGGAGCTTTGGGGTAGCCGAGCTTTTTGTGGGCTGTGCCCTATTCTTCGAGGGCCGAGGGACCCGTGACAGGCCATACCACAGTAGCCTCAAGTGCGTAGAATGCACCCGTTTCGGCGAAGATCCACTATTGCCTTTGGTTCTGCAAAAAGACCCAGCGATTCTCGGCTATTCTAGCTCTATGCAAAGGGCTAAGAAGCAATACTGCAACAAAAATATAGTGGGAGCAACTCACATGCTCCGACATGTCTGCCGACCGCGTTCTGACCATGTGGGATCTGGGACAAAGCTGGTGAATCTGAAATCTTGGCCTCAGGTGCAGTCTTTTGTTGGCCAGAGGACTTTAACACCGTCTTGCCAAGCTCGAAGCAACTTCTTTCGGAACTCCGTGCCTACATACACTTCGCCTTCCCACCCTGTTGCGTTTCATTACATCCAGGATCTTCCTTAAAACCTAGGCACACAGCGGAAATCCATAGTTTTGCATCGCCACGGTGCACAACCAACTGCGCCGAGACACTCCTCGGCCATTGTGGGATCCTGGGCACCGTGAATTTTTGAGGCTCTGTGGATCTTCAGATCACTCTTACTACTATTCTTCTTCTTCTTCTTCTTATTGTTATTCTTCTTACTATTCCTCTTCTTCTTACTATGTTGCACACCGACCCTCCGAGGTTATCATGCTGCAGGCCGCCGAGCTGCTACAGAGTAGACGCTCGGAGCCAGGGATGTCCCTGGATCTGGGCACCATCGCAGCACCCCATTCAAGAAGGAGGCATGGAATTTCAGGTGGTCCTGGATGAAGCCTGAGTCTTGCCAAGGGCAACTCCGAAAAGTAAACTACCTTTCTAAGATACATCCCTTGGCATAAGAAGTCACACTTTTCCCGGCAACCAACAAAGCCTTGAAGGAGACACGACCCGACGTCGTTTACCGTTCATTGCGTGCCTAGCCGCCGACACCCGAACTCCCGCGTGAACAGCAGAATCACTACTGGACGCAACTCCGCAGAGACCTACGACGGCAGCCCTGAAGGGCGCAGGCTTGCGAACAGGATTGTGTTCTTAGGGTCCAAACTCGGTCGAAGAAGACATGCCGGTCACAATGGGCACTGTCTTCTCAACAAGAGTGATCTAAGGCCCAAGCTTGAAATGAAGTAGTAGGAATGGTCGTACTCCGACCTTATTGCCCCCAAGCTTTCCATGCAGCGTAGGATGTGTTTAGAGACCTGACAAGCTGTAACCAACGATGCTCAGCGGGCTTCACAGCCACCGGCTGCAGTAGAAATTGTCGGGAATGATCTCACTGGGTTCAGGGGCTCAGAGGCTACGAAGGCAATCTAAGCATGTCTTCCACAGCTGAACTCTTCACGGGCTCCCGAAACCTGGTCAAAGTGCCATGGAATTGAAACTTGGACCTTCCTGTAAGCTGCGCAGAATCTCCATCACCACGTAGACTAAGCTGTCAGGCATGGCCTACTGCTGCGATGTTAAAGGGAGTCTCATCACCCCGGTGCAGTACTGACACTTCAGGCTCCTGTTCTCAACCCGGGTCCAGCTCAGCTGCTGCATTCGCAGTGTGAGCGGAATGCCCTTCTCGTCGCAAACCTGGAACCAAGCATGATGGCCATACAAATGTCCCCATCGAAAAAACTGCCATCTGCCGTCATGTACTTTAACTACACCTCCCGAGATAGCAACAACCCTAAAGTCGCAAGACCCTCAAAGCTCGATGGCGCAAGACCAGCCGGAGAACGGCTTTCAGCAGGCCCGGTTTGAGCTGCTCCGAGAGGAACATGTCCGATGTACCTGCACTGTGCCGGCAGTTCATGTGCGTTTCGGGGCCATATGTAATATATTATATTATACTATATT